TTGTTTCCTTCAACAATGCAGCATTCTGCTATTCTAGACAGAGAGTGCGTTGGAAAATCAGTCAAGACTAAGCTAAATCATGACTGGGGGACTTAAAATCATCATTTGAAGTGGAGCAAAGTTGGACATAATTCACTTGTGGCAATTTAAGCTTCTTTGACAGAGACTATGTTGAAAAAATCTCAATGTGAATGCATTTCTTCTTCAGGTAGTTGAAGCAGAAAGATTAATTTATGCTTTGTCAAGTTATCTATGCATCTTTGATATGCTATGAATAGGGGTTCTGTTTGTTCCCAAAACTCCAGGCTGAGTAATGTTGACTCAGTCTACATCAATGTCATAAAATCAAATTTTGTTAATGATGGACTTGTTTGGGCTGTGTTGTTTATCACTGTGGAAAATCTTGCTACGGTTGTACTATTGTTGATAAGGGCTAATGTTTCATAAATCTTGATAGAATTAAGGACAAATGTAATCTCTGATGATTTACCTTGTTTTTTGATTTACCTTGTTTTTCTTCAACATTTTGCTATTGCTGCAAAGACTGCTCAATAATGTCAGCACATTGTTGTTGGTTTGTGTACAATGTAAACTCAATTCGTACAATTTAAGTTCAGAGCAAGAATAAGACTGGGTAATTCAGTCCATTCAGTTTATGTTGGTGCACTTAAGTTGAGAATAAGTTTCTGCTTTATCTCATTCTTCATCCAATTGGCCTTTCATCTGGGATCCTGGACAGTAAGTGTGACAGTCCAGTGCTGGGAGCGTGCTGTCTTCTGAAAGGATATTAACCCCAGCCCACCTCTATCTATTCAGGTGGATGTTAGGATTCCATAGCAGAAGGGAATTTCTCCTGTCATCGTGGCCAACAATCCCCTGGAAAAATTGCACCTCATGGCTAGTTTAGGTGATATGCTGTGCACAAATTGGCTTGTTTTTTGCCTAGACACTACTCTGAAGTGAAATTCCTTTAAAGTGCTTTGAGATGTTCCAGTGTTATAGGTGCCTCATCAAATGATAGGTTTATTATTTTTAGCTCCCCTACTGGCATGCCACCCAACCCGGCATGGACGGTGCTATATAAATGCAAGTAGTTGTTGTACTTCTACCCTGACAGAACTAAGTTACAACAGCATATACTCTGCATTTAGATGACAGATGAGTTTCAAAATTACTTGTTAGGTGACTTCTAATAATAATACTTGCATTTGATATAGTGCTTTTTACGTCTTCTAGACGTCTCAAAGCGCTTCACAGAATATGCTGCAAAGTGAATTACCATATATTTGTGGGCGAAAACACTGTGACTCAGAGCCAAACAGTGAGTAATGTAGTCCTCTTAGCACATGGCATGTTTGTTCAATTTCAAATACTTTGCCTGTCACTCTAGTTAACATCAATAACAACTTGTATTTATATAGCACCCCTTGCACAGGGTAGTGTCCCAGAGTGCTTAAAATAAATTATTGTACTTTAGATTAGAACAAGGCAGGATTAAGTTAATGGTAGGGCCAGAAATTGAATACATCCATCGGAAGAATGACCTTCAGCTCATAAAAATGAATTAAAACAAGAACATTTCCTTTTGCCAGAAGGGTAGGCAAGGTCGCACAAAATACCAGTAATGCAGGCATGAAAATGAATGAATAAACAAATCTAATACATTAAAGTGACACTTTGCTCTTTATTAAACTTCAACACTAGTTTGACAGTTTTAAAAGTACAGAACAAAGACCGTGTTTAAAAAGCATCAACACTTATTGCTGGAATCATCAGATATTCAGGATCAGAGCCTGAAAATTGCTTCATCTCCATATTTGTCAGAAACATCTTAAATCTATCCAGGTTTCAACTAAATCTTACAAAAATACACTGCTTTTTCCTTCCTTGTATTTAATAAATTACATTCTTGCATTCTTTTAAACTGAAGTTAAACACTGTACAGCACTGCAATGTCTGGAATATACTGTATTTACACTGTCTGCATTATTCCAAAAGAAATCTAGACAGTTTTGAATTTGATGTATTCACTGAACCTTAAAAAAACTTTAGCTGACTTAACATTATGTAGACAAAAAAGTTTGCTGAACAAAAAAAAGTTTGGAACAAACACATTTTTTTGTATTATTGAGCAAGGAAGGAATGGGTTTAAAAGTCCCGAAGAAAGTGGTAAAACGCATTACAAGGTGATCTCAATCCCAAGGCAGTATTCATCTGAAACTCAGACAAGATCTTTAATTGCCCACAAATCAGACTCGACCAGAAAGAAAGTCAACAGGAAGTGGCTTGTGCTCACCTCTTGGGACACTTTTGTGCTCCTATGTCAACAATAACAGGAAGAAATGACTGTGGGTATCACAAAGGGGTTAAGACATATAAAGAGAAAGTAGATTGGGATCCTGGACAGTAAGTGTGACAGCCCAGTGCTGGGAGCGTGCTGTCTTCTGAAAGGATATTAACCCCAGCCCACCTCTATCTATTCAGGTGGATGTTAGGATTCCATAGCAGAAGGGAATTTCTCCTGTCATCGTGGCCAACAATCCCCTGGAAAAATTGCACCTCATGGCTAGTTTAGGTGATATGCTGTGCACAAATTGGCTTGTTTTTGCCTAGACACTACTCTGAAGTGAAATTCCTTTTAAAGTGCTTTGAGATGTTCCAGTGTTATAGGTGCCTCATCAAATGATAGGTTTTATTATTTTAGCTCCCCTACTGGCATGCCACCCAACCCGGCATGGACGGTGCTATATAAATGCAAGTAGTTGTTGTACTTCTACCCTGACAGAACTAAGTTACAACAGCATATACTCTGCATTTAGATGACAGATGAGTTTCAAAATTACTTGTTAGGTGACTTCTAATAATAATACTTGCATTTGATATAGTGCTTTTTACGTCTTCTAGACGTCTCAAAGCGCTTCACAGAATATGCTGCAAAGTGAATTACCATATATTTGTGGGCGAAAACACTGTGACTCAGAGCCAAACAGTGAGTAATGTAGTCCTCTTAGCACATGGCATGTTTGTTCAATTTCAAATACTTTGCCTGTCACTCTAGTTAACATCAATAACAACTTGTATTTATATAGCACCCCTTGCACAGGGTAGTGTCCCAGAGTGCTTAAAATAAATTATTGTACTTTAGATTAGAACAAGGCAGGATTAAGTTAATGGTAGGGCCAGAAATTGAATACATCCATCGGAAGAATGACCTTCAGCTCATAAAAATGAATTAAAACAAGAACATTTCCTTTTGCCAGAAGGGTAGGCAAGGTCGCACAAAATACCAGTAATGCAGGCATGAAAATGAATGAATAAACAAATCTAATACATTAAAGTGACACTTTGCTCTTTATTAAACTTCAACACTAGTTTGACAGTTTTAAAAGTACAGAACAAAGACCGTGTTTAAAAAGCATCAACACTTATTGCTGGAATCATCAGATATTCAGGATCAGAGCCTGAAAATTGCTTCATCTCCATATTTGTCAGAAACATCTTAAATCTATCCAGGTTTCAACTAAATCTTACAAAAATACACTGCTTTTTCCTTCCTTGTATTTAATAAATTACATTCTTGCATTCTTTTAAACTGAAGTTAAACACTGTACAGCACTGCAATGTCTGGAATATACTGTATTTACACTGTCTGCATTATTCCAAAAGAAATCTAGACAGTTTTGAATTTGATGTATTCACTGAACCTTAAAAAAACTTTAGCTGACTTAACATTATGTAGACAAAAAAGTTTGCTGAACAAAAAAAAGTTTGGAACAAACACATTTTTTTGTATTATTGAGCAAGGAAGGAATGGGTTTAAAAGTCCCGAAGAAAGTGGTAAAACGCATTACAAGGTGATCTCAATCCCAAGGCAGTATTCATCTGAAACTCAGACAAGATCTTTAATTGCCCACAAATCAGACTCGACCAGAAAGAAAGTCAACAGGAAGTGGCTTGTGCTCACCGCTTGGGACACTTTTGTGCTCCTATGTCAACAATAACAGGAAGAAATGACTGTGGGTATCACAAAGGGGTTAAGACATATAAAGAGAAAGTAGATTGGGATCCTGGACAGTAAGTGTGACAGTCCAGTGCTGGGAGCGTGCTGTCTTCTGAAAGGATATTAACCCCAGCCCACCTCTATCTATTCAGGTGGATGTTAGGATTCCATAGCAGAAGGGAATTTCTCCTGTCATCGTGGCCAACAATCCCCTGGAAAAATTGCACCTCATGGCTAGTTTAGGTGATATGCTGTGCACAAATTGGCTTGTTTTTGCCTAGACACTACTCTGAAGTGAAATTCCTTTTAAAGTGCTTTGAGATGTTCCAGTGTTATAGGTGCCTCATCAAATGATAGGTTTTATTATTTTAGCTCCCCTACTGGCATGCCACCCAACCCGGCATGGACGGTGCTATATAAATGCAAGTAGTTGTTGTACTTCTACCCTGACAGAACTAAGTTACAACAGCATATACTCTGCATTTAGATGACAGATGAGTTTCAAAATTACTTGTTAGGTGACTTCTAATAATAATACTTGCATTTGATATAGTGCTTTTTACGTCTTCTAGACGTCTCAAAGCGCTTCACAGAATATGCTGCAAAGTGAATTACCATATATTTGTGGGCGAAAACACTGTGACTCAGAGCCAAACAGTGAGTAATGTAGTCCTCTTAGCACATGGCATGTTTGTTCAATTTCAAATACTTTGCCTGTCACTCTAGTTAACATCAATAACAACTTGTATTTATATAGCACCCCTTGCACAGGGTAGTGTCCCAGAGTGCTTAAAATAAATTATTGTACTTTAGATTAGAACAAGGCAGGATTAAGTTAATGGTAGGGCCAGAAATTGAATACATCCATCGGAAGAATGACCTTCAGCTCATAAAAATGAATTAAAACAAGAACATTTCCTTTTGCCAGAAGGGTAGGCAAGGTCGCACAAAATACCAGTAATGCAGGCATGAAAATGAATGAATAAACAAATCTAATACATTAAAGTGACACTTTGCTCTTTATTAAACTTCAACACTAGTTTGACAGTTTTAAAAGTACAGAACAAAGACCGTGTTTAAAAAGCATCAACACTTATTGCTGGAATCATCAGATATTCAGGATCAGAGCCTGAAAATTGCTTCATCTCCATATTTGTCAGAAACATCTTAAATCTATCCAGGTTTCAACTAAATCTTACAAAAATACACTGCTTTTTCCTTCCTTGTATTTAATAAATTACATTCTTGCATTCTTTTAAACTGAAGTTAAACACTGTACAGCACTGCAATGTCTGGAATATACTGTATTTACACTGTCTGCATTATTCCAAAAGAAATCTAGACAGTTTTGAATTTGATGTATTCACTGAACCTTAAAAAAACTTTAGCTGACTTAACATTATGTAGACAAAAAAGTTTGCTGAACAAAAAAAAGTTTGGAACAAACACATTTTTTTGTATTATTGAGCAAGGAAGGAATGGGTTTAAAAGTCCCGAAGAAAGTGGTAAAACGCATTACAAGGTGATCTCAATCCCAAGGCAGTATTCATCTGAAACTCAGACAAGATCTTTAATTGCCCACAAATCAGACTCGACCAGAAAGAAAGTCAACAGGAAGTGGCTTGTGCTCACCGCTTGGGACACTTTTGTGCTCCTATGTCAACAATAACAGGAAGAAATGACTGTGGGTATCACAAAGGGGTTAAGACATATAAAGAGAAAGTAGATTGTGGTAGACTTTACTGAAGGAACACTTTAAATGAATATTGAAAGGCTGAGACCCAAAGTTGCTCAAACAAATTGTCAATCGGTCACAGTTTGCTTCCACTCAAACATTCTCTTGCCCTCTTCTGAGAGAAGTTGCTTGTGCTTTGGGAACAATTCTCACCCACACTGTTCTTGACCTAAAGACAGTGAACATTGGTAAGTAGGTGGGTGTGGGGTGTTGTGGTGGTAGGTGAAGTAGCCAGTTGCAATGGCCCCTTTGATCAACTAACGTCGCCTTTGAAATGTTAATTGGGTGAATGAGTTTACGAATAAAATAGTTGGGACCAGGCGATACATTTAGTGAAAATGTTACTTTACAAATCAACATACTCTAAGAAGCAGCTAACACTAAAAAAGGTATGTAAAGTCACTAGATTTGGATCAAACACAATTTACATTTCTATAACAAGCATTTAGAATATTGTCCTTGCGTATACAAGTTAAACTTGGTCATTAAAACATTGGATTTGTTTCAAAGATGCAGAACGTGCTACAGGAATCGGGTTAATAAAAATAAGCTTTTAAACTTGTAAATATTGGTCCTATGCAACAATTGAAACTTCATATTATGTGAAAAATTGACTGAATATTTTAAATGTTTTTCAATGGATGCTTTTCGTTCATCCTTACGAAAGGTCATCATCTTTGTCTCCTGCAGGTTTGTAGATAACTCCTTGGTTTTCAGTCGCCTTTTTTGTTCTTCAAAAAACAAAGGAAAGTTATCAAAGTGTTGTCTATGATAGTATAGTATCCAACTGCTTTGTGTAGTGTATCCCAAAAAATGCTGACTGACCAGCACCCGGGGATGTCTTTCTGACGTGAAGGACGCTATACAAGTGCAATTTGTTGTTGCATAATAAACTGCCCATCTAATCCGGGGGATGAAAAACAATCTAGCTAAAATCAGATAGAGCACAAACCCAACTTTCTGATCTGCCGCAGCTTCTCCCTGGATAAATCTTAGCCATTGTGGATCTTTGTTATATTGTAATATTTCATTTATTTAAACTCACGTCTTTGGGACTTGTAACTGCTTTGGTCCATGCCAGCTTTCAGGTTTGCAAAATCTTCTGCAGAGTGTCCCACTGGCATTGACAGGAAAGTGACAAAGCACATATATGGCTCACTCCAGAGTTTGGCAAGACATTGAAGAGCAGCCAGTGGTGATCCTAACACTAGCTTGGGAAGTTTATTGTGTCCTTAAAATACATCTCAGCATTTCAGTCTAAATGTTGGTAATATAAATAGCATCATGCCCCAGCATTGTCCTTACAACTTAAAACCCTGAAGATATTCTTCACTGTTAATTCAGTTGGGTTGTTTTACTCAGCTCAGCATGGTTTGTTTGAGATTCCTTTTGTCAATTGAACTGGAATCGCCTAATAACCCGATAAAATACAGCCAATTTAAAGCGTTCCTGCAAACTAGCAGCCTTTCCTATCGGAATGCATCAAAAATGTCGGTTCCTCAGCAAATTTTGAACAAATGTTTCTGATTAACATACTGAAAGAAAAGCATCCAGATTTCAAACACTCACCTTTTTCTCAGCAAGAAGCAACCCAATGCTAAAATAGCAAGGGCACCAAACACACAGCACAATATCACCGCCAGGACTACACCTGTGTGTGGAAAAAATGAAGGAGTTAGCATCCTCGCTTCAACTATAAATAACTCCTGAAGGAAAAAATCAAGCAGCAGTAGCCATTATGCATCGGAAATGCAAATTGTTTTTATTCTCCAACTCCCAAATTAATTTCTAGTGTAATATCAGAAAAAATTGGATGCAACTACAGTGTTTCTCTCTCCTTCCACACCCCCCATCCCCTATTGCACCATCAAGATTCTATTCTAAACCACCTGCAGAGAATTTGGACGCTTTGGGAGATTGTACCTAATGGAAGTGAGGTGTGCAGTAATGGTACATTTTTATACTTTGGTCATCCGGGGTCAGCATTAAGCACAACTCCAGTACAGATCAGAGTTAAACTCCTTCTACTCTCCTATCTTATAACCTTCAGCCTCAGAACTCTATAAGGTACCAGTAATAGTGTGCCATTTCTCTTTCCCAGTCTTAGATTTTCAATGCAGGGCCAAATCAGGTGCTGTTAAATGCTATGGAATCACATCCAGTAGGAACTGGATTGTGTCTAAAACATCCCATTTTGAAACCCGAAAGCCTCAAGAGGAGATTTTTATAATAATCCTATAATATAATAATCCTTGCATTTGATATAGCATCTCATCAGGTCGTCGAAAAGTCTCAAATCGCTTCACAGAACATACTGTAAAGTGTAATGAATGTGCATTCTGCAGACAAAATACCAAATTGTGTGATATTTGTATGAACTCAGGGTGGATTCCTGCCAGTGATGAAAGACCATCCACTGATAACATTTAAACTAATAATAAATAACTAAGTGTGAAATACAAAATTGTTCTACAACCCATTCAATTGTTTAAGTGCAGTTAATTATGCATTTCCTGGTTCTCATTGAGCATTTGGTCTAGTCAGCAGTTTAGGTTATAAAATATTAGCTTTAAAAATACAGAATAAAATTTGTTAATAGAATGCGTTAAACTTGCCACACAGAAACACAGGTTGTCGACCATTGTGCTGAAGAAAGCAACCTTTTTCCAGCATGCATACAAGCAAAGTTAATACTGTACTATGAAGTTAAAAACTGTTTTAAAACAGTTAAAATGTTAACAAAGTGCCACTACAGCTAGCCAGCGTGCAAAATGGTGGCCTTTGTGGGTTAGACAAGTGAGTACAGCATTGGCATAGCTGCTGTATCAAGTCATGGGAACCTCTGGGATGTAGGACAGTTTAAAAAAAACACACATCAGGCAGGAAGATGAGTAGTTAATACAAAAAGAGTTAGATGAGCCATCATTCCATTATCATGCAAATTACAAGCTACACAAAAAGCTCACAGAATATTACCTAGGGACAATTTCTGTGTAGAATCTAAAAGGAAATAAAAAGTTATTTGCAATGCTTCCAAGGGTACGATTGCATTTTCACACCAATCAATAATTCTGACATTCCAATACATCCATCACCTGCTCGCGGGGTGCTGAACCACAACAACAAAATTACATTTATAGAGCATCTTTCACGTCAGGAGGATGTCCCAAAGCGCTGAGCAGTCAGGTGTTGGGGCCCGAGCATGGGGGAGAGGTGGTGTAGGGGTGAGGGAAGGCAGAGAGGTGGGAGGGCAACAAAAGGCACGGTTGAAGAGAAGGGTCTTGAGACCGGCCTTGAAGGAGGCAAGGGAGGAAGCGAGACAAAGGGAACATGGGATGAAGTTCCAGAGTGTGGGGGCAGAGAGGCTGAAAGCCCGGCCACCGATGGTAGGGCGGGTCGTGTGGGAGACATGGAGCAGACCCGAGCCCGATGAACGGAGGGAACGGGCAGGTTGGTAGGGAGTCAGCAGGTCAGAGAGGTAGGAGGGGGCAAGGCCATGGATGGCCTTAAAGGTGAGGACGAGAATCTTGAACACAATCCTCTGGGGGATGGGGAGCCAGTGTAGTCGGGCGAGGGTGAGAGTGATGGGGTCGCGGAGCCTGGTGCGAGCTGCAGAGGTTTGGATGATCTGCAGCTTGTGAAGGGAAGAGTTGGGAAGGCCATGAGGAGGGAGTTCCCGTATCGAGCCTTAATGTGACGTGATATGAAAATCCAGTCATGATATTGAAAGCTAATTGCACAATCACTGAAATGTTTTGGTCATAATGTTTTAAATTGGAACGACTTAAATTCTTCTTACCCCCACCATGTCAGGTTAACTGCAATAATAATAAACCATAATAATAACCTTGCATTTGATATAGTTCTTTTCATGTCAGGATATTCCAAAGCAGTTCACAGCAATTATTGTAAAGTGACTGTATTTTGTAGGGAATCATGGCAGCCAATTTGTGCACAGCAATTTCATCCAAAAAGTAAATTTGAAGTGGATTAATCGGGGGGTTGTTGCTCAAGACCAGGAGAAACTCAAATAGTGCCATAGGATCTTTAATGTCCACCTGAACAAGCAGACGAGATCTCAGTTTAAAGTCACACTTCAAGGATCAAATTATATTGTAGGGTATAGTAGAGAAAACAAGTTTTGAAAAAATTGACTATACAAAACTTGGGAGTATATTTTGTAATCAGGTTGCCAAAAAAGTGCAGCTTACTTGTGCATTAAGCATTAATCTCTTTATCAATCTCATATTGCTGATTAGATCGACATATTTATCAAAAAAGGTCAAAGAAAAAAATTGGCAAACAAAGATTCAAAAAACCTAAAAGAGCATTTTGCTCATGAAACAGTCAATTAACTTTACTGTATATTCTGTGAAGCCCTTCCAAATGTCTCAAAGATGTGGGAAGGCGCTACATCAAATAATAATAATAATAATCCTTGCATTTGATATAGCGCTTTTCACGTCGGGAGGACGTCCCAAAGCGCTTCACAGAACACACTGTAAAGTGAATTGACTATATATTTGTGGGCGAACGCGGCAGCCAATTGCGCACAGCAATGTCCCACAAACAGTCCTGGATTGAAAATGACCAATTTATTAGTTTTGTTTTTGGGAGGGATTATTATTAGGCGTGTGGAGTAAGGAAACTTGCCCAAGGTTTCGCCCTCTGCCTGGAATTGAATTCAGGTCTCTCACTTGCAAAGCGAGTGCTCTAACCACTGAGCTACAGGACTCCACAAATGCAAGGATTATTATTATATAATTTATTTTGAATAGTCTAAAGTTGATTGGATAAACTCTCCTGTAATAATCACTGTTTTTCATCCAAATTTGGTGGGGGGGCGGGGAGAAAGGGAAAAGAGTAGGAAGATCAACCAATAGCCTGCTCTTCCCCCAAAATCCTATTCTTTTGCCTGACAGGAACTGGGTGGAGAATTTACTGACATCGGAGTTGGCCAATTACATATTTCAACAGCTCGGAAGTTTAACTTTAGAAATGAGTGAGGTGTGTTTTTTGTTAAAAAAATGGATCATTGCCTCTTAGTTTGGGAAAGGAAAAGATCCTGGAAGAACTCTTTATTCATGGACACAATGGTTGAGATCCGGTGGTGATGATATCAGCACATCACATTGTAAGCTATACGTGGAAATTGGCAATAGCCCTGACCTTCCTGCAACTGGAAAACAATATGCACAAGTAATCTTATGGGTAACTAGAATCACACAACCTGTGTGACCACATTCACCTGCACAATTTGTTACATTTTCCAAGGTCTCTTTGCCCAAGATGCCACTTTGAAATTTGTATTTGCTAACATAAATAAAGTGTTAAACTCATACCTTTCATTTACTAATATCTCTGCATTAAACATTCAAGGCAAAGCAGACTAAAAAAAATGTTTTTCCCAAATTGATTTCTTATATTCAGGAGTTCTTATATTAAGGAGGTCAAATTCAATTTTGTGAGCTATCTTCATAACTTGGAATCAAAGTTCTGGCATCAACCTCTTCTCTAAACTCTTGAATGAAGTCAGTGTTCTTTAGGAGGAGTCCAAGAACTGCACACAATGATTTAAATCGGCCTCACCTATTTTCTATACAAGATGAAACAAAACTTACTTTTAATTATTTTTAATCTATTCCAACATACAATTAGTTTTGTTGATGACAGCTCCTCACAGACAAGAGAATGAACACCAGTCTCACCCTGACTCTATTTGCTGTGCAACATTTAGAGATTATGTTGGACACAAATCACTAAGTAGTTCAATGACAAATTTTGCATTGATACAGCACCATTCACATTAGAAAGTCTCAAAACACTTCACAGAAATAAAATTGACTGGAAGTCTAAGCTGGCGGGGGAATTGAGGAGGAGTGGGGTGGGGGGAACGGGGTGGGGGGGGAAGAAAGGTGACAAAAAGCTGGTTGTCAAGAAAGGTCTTAAGTTTGGTAAAACGGTGTAGGTGTGTTGAGGCTTTGCTCACCTTCATGGAATGAGACTAGGACCTCTCGTTTCCCCAGTTTCTGCACGTGACGGAAATTCTTCACCATTCCAGTTTGATTAGTTTCCTCTTTATCCGAGACAAACAAATCGCTCTCTAGCTCGTTAAGCTGGAAAGGAATCACAATTACTGTCACACTGGGCTCTGTTTCTGAAGTTCTGGACATAATCTACCTGCTCTCCCGAGCATTCTCTTTTGTATTGTTAAAATGGGATTATTTTAAAAATAAACCATTTCCTGGCACCTTCCAGTCCTGGCAAGATAATGGTTGGGATCTGTTCCCAGCTTTTAAGATTGAGATTTGATTTTTATTGTAAACTCAATTGTCAACTAGGCACACAGAGTGCTGACTTAGTGTAAAAGATATGGATGTTCTCTAGCTCTGCTTGACCCCTTTCTGCGGCTGCAATATCAACAACTTGCTTTCATATCCTTCCAATTTTGTATTGCATATCGTTGCCCTTCACACAGGGTAGCATCTCAGAGTGCTTAAATTCTGCAAGATTGTGCAACCAAGCCTCAGTACATTTTGTGAGGTGCTGAAATTTGATGCAAAATCATTTTGTGTGTTTACTAACTTTAAAGTTCCCTTTTCAGATAAGAATTCCTGCCATCCCACTTAACAGGATCAACAACATGCCTATCAAATGATAACACCCTAACAGCATTAGAAATAATCTAGAATCATATTGTGATAAGACATCAAAATCTTGGTCTCAGTCAACTGGTCGCTTGTTGTAATTGTCACTACCAGCGGATTGACTTAAGATCGTCGTTCTAAGTTTCAAATGCCTCCACTCGAAATTTGTGATCATCCCTCCCCCATCCCTTTTGGTCACCTCCCTCCTAACCAGCCAGTCTCCCACTAGTCTCTGAAACATTTTGGAGACGTTTCCTGAGGTGAAAAAAGCAGTATACAAGTGTAAGTTGCAACTCTCAGGACACCATATCCTTTACAACATCCAAAGAACGATGTTTCTTTGTATAAAAGTAGTTATTCATGGGCCTGCACCGAGCAGACTACCAATTTAGTGCCACATTATGAGCAGTTTTATGCTCAGTTGAACCAACTGGTAACTAGGTTGAAATAGTTAGAACTCAATAGGCTCTTTAGAAACCACACAAGAAAAGGATTTTCGCACTGTCAATTGAGGCTAGATTCAAACTCAGGACCCCAAAGGGCAAGATAATTGTGTGCTAAATCACCCAGTCTATTATCACAAAGTGTTAAAATGACAGGTTTCAAAAAAAAAAACAAATCGGAGACTTCAATTACATCAGGGAACACTTGTCATTTGTATGCTGATTCTTAGGGCAGTAGTACAGAAAAACTGCTGTCATGTTCTTGTTTTCTACAAATATTCAGAGGTTATTCTGAGCTTCTTGTACTAAAGCTGTGATTATGTACACAGTGTACAATGCAATTAAGTTGTTACATTCATACTTTCAACAAAGCCACAGGCTTGTAGAATATTTACCCGATAGGCAGACCAGAGGTTCCATAAATATGAGAATTCATTAGAATACTCAATATTAATGATCACAACTGCCGTCCCCCACAAAAAACAGAAGCAAAATAAAATCAATCCAGCATATAAAGCAAAATATCAGTCCTTGCAGATTAGCTCAGAAAATTATTGTTCCAATTGTGATATCTGACAAGAGCAGGAATGCTTCTGATGCATTTTAAACAAAAAAGATGAAAATTAGTCGGTCCAAAGGTCACAAAGCATTCTTTAGCTCAGAGACTGAGGCTGCCAATTCTGAAGATAAAAAGAGAAACTTTAGCCCAGAGGAACTAAACAGGCGTAATCACGGACACTACCCAGTTCACAAACCTGATCTGCGCTGTTTATAGTGGTACATCCAATTAGCAGAAAGGCCTTTCAAAGTGTTCAAATCAAAAAGATTTTAGTGCAATTATTATTCAATTTGTTTAAAACATACTCCAGTGCAATAAAGCAGAAAAGAAATCTTACTAGCAATTAATAAGTGGAAGTGTGTACACACACACATTACTATGTCCTCACAACAGGTACAGACAAAGACAAGGGCCTTTGTGAGAAACAAAGGTAGCCTGGCCAACAATCCCCGAGATGAAATTGGTCATTTACTTCATAGCTGCTGTTGGGACATGAATTGACTGCTGCATTCACCGAGAACTGCACAATCACTAAACTTTTGAGTAAAATCCTTTGAAGTACTTGGAGACATTTTGATGATGTGAGAAGCTGCTATAATCAAAGGCAAGGATTATTATTAATAATAAACACACTGAACAGGAACTGTGCGTCAGTGGGGAAACAAATACAGAAAAACCTAGGTGTAACCTTGACATTAAAGGATTCATTACTCTGTGCATCTTGTGAAGTCATTTGTGTGCCCTGGAACCTTGAAGTCTCCAGATTCATCCAGAGGACTATTTTATCTATTTAAACTAAAGGCCCAGAAAGGAAAACCAATCTGGCAAGCTATACTAACCAACACATCATCTTACAATTCCCCTTTCTGGTTTCATTAGTAATGTCTGACTAAAACAGTGCTCCCACTCTGAAGAAATGCGAGTACTTAGTGTCGCCTTCAGAAACCTAAATGCTTTCTGACTTACCTGTTCATTAGAGATTTGTACAGACTTCCTGAAAACCGTCCAGAGCACACTGGGATAACAAGGAGGGGTTGTGAGGGACCCATTATAGCGAAAGTATTGATCCAGTCGGTCAGGAAGAAGATCTTCAACATTGAAACCAGGCATGTAGATCTTTTGATCTGTAGAAATGCAATGAAAAGCTAATAGTAACCATTAGCTAAATAAACACTGAGCACAAGTAAAACCAATATATTGAGCTTTTTTTAAAAAACCCAGATGGTCAAAGACTAACTTTCTTTAGCCATGACACTGGTATCGATGCCAGCCATTGATTATATTTGACAGCCCTCTGGATTAGCGAGTAAATTCATAAAGTTTCACCCTCTTAGCACCTCAAGTGGCTGAGTATGAGAAACAGGCTCAAGTCTCAGTTTCATACCATATAAATTTCCCAGCCAGAATTTACGGTTGTCTGATTAAATAGTATCAGATTTTCAATACAATAGTGAGTCACTTTTTGTATCTCTTTGCATCTTGTTCCAAGAGCCCAGTTTCACTTGAATTGATTCAAGTTTACGGAATCCTCACCTTTATACTGGATTTCTTTCAGATGACTAAATACGATCTCATAAGCAGGGTTGAAGTTTCCAACCTACAAAGACATTTTTTTTAAAAAAAGTTCGTTTTTGTATATTTTCTTCTTTGCGAAGCAAGGACACAAGCAAAATAACACACCACTGAATTCAGATACATTTAAATACCTCAATAAGAATTCCAAGAACAGCCAGGCCATCAGGCTTGTCCTGTGCTTCAGTAACAGACTCATATTTATCAGAGTTGTAGTGAACGATATGCAGCTATATGGGTGGAAAGAGAGTGTACAGTAATTAGACCATTGGGGTGATTCTCTGTTCTTTAGTAACACAACAACCGTAGAAAAGTATAATGAATGAGAATCTGGATGAATGGATGTTCTACATTCAGTTTTCAGTACAGAACTCACATCAACCATGCCACTACATACATGTGTCTGTCTGTGTGTGCGTGTGTGGGGGGGGGTGGGGAGGGGGGGGGTAAGGAAGAGGATAACATCACATATAGGAGCGTCACCCCACCGAAGCATACAATGGGGTGGGCAAAGAGACACAGTGATCATGGCGGTCTTTTCTTCCTGAGCTCTGCCATTGACAGAAGCGCACAGCACAGGAGGATGGAAGAAGTAGGATAGAGGGAGACATTGGGTGCCCCCATTTTTGTTCAGTGTAGATCCAAGGGATCAGGGAGAAATTACTTTAAAAGGTGAATTATACCTTTAAATTTGTATAAAAGTCACAAATCCTGAGATAATTACCCCAAAAATTGGGTGAATGCAAATACCACTGGAGTTAACTTGTTTCAGTTAATAAACAAATGGAAAATAATATACATTAACCAATGGCATAGTTCTGTCCCATTTAGTGCAGTTTTGACAACAGAGGGCTGAGGGCTAGAAATTCCAATTATGATTTTCTTTAATTCCAGGTTCCAGCTTGTTTCACTTTGTTCCAATTGCAAACGGAATTGGGAGCAGCTGGTGAATAATTGCCCATTGGATTGGACCACATTTCTAAACAAACTAAATTTGTTTCCCTTGATGATAGTGTGTGAAGCTACCATCGATCCCTTTCCGATGACCTGTTGTTTTAAAACTTTCTTTGCTTGACATTAGGGTGCAAACTCTCGTCAGTGGTCCTGGATTTCTCGATCGCAGACAAGAGGCCAGTCACCTACTTTGGAGTCCGAAAGGAGGGAGGGACATGCACAGAAATGTCATCCCATTTATCTAGAAAGATCATGGAGACGGATCTGCCCAAACTTTAAGCCAGGATTGTACATTACGCAAAGAAACCCAAGGAGAGCAGAGGTGGAGAATACCTTCTTGAAACCTCAAAAAAAAAGTAAGGAAATGCACGCAAGAATGCAGTGTTGGCCCAGGCAGGAGATCTCACCTCTGACGGGTAATGTTGCCCACTGATGGTGTGCTCAGATCCATTGGGCTCAGCCTTACTTCCCCAGTGCATATGCAGCTGCACTGCAGTGTAACGATCAGGCAAGCTTGTGATGTGCATGGTCGGAAGCAAACTCAATTTTACTGGAACAAAAAATAGGAAACTATTGTTAAGCTTTGAAATTCGTCGAAAATCATTTCTAAGACAGCGTTACGTAAAAGTAGTGTATTGGAATCATTTAATAATTAACTTCAATCAAATGGGATGGGAAAATGGCCACTGTTTAACCAAAATCTTCCTACAACTAAGAAATTGCTAATGCGTTAAATCTCCCTTGTTTTTACAGGAGCCTCTTGCCATGAGCTACAATGACTGAGGTGGCAGGAACAAATGACTGGACATATGCATGCACTGGCACGTCAAAGCAGCTGCGTTTTTGAATCAGAGCGTTTACATGGAGACTACAATTCAATACAGTTCATTATCGCTTCAGAGCTGGGTTAAGACGAGTTTGAGAGATGAGTCACACCACCAACGGTAAGCACTGCATATTGTAATCACCGACAAAATCTGTTGCAGATAGGAAGCTCAGGTCTGTACCTACGTTGAATAAAAGGGGAACTCCAGAGATCCATTAATCAATAAAACCTCAGATCAAAACATTTGTTTCACTTAACCCCACGTGCTTTCTGGGGTCTTTGCCTCAACTAAAACCACAATTTGAACTGTTTAATTTGATAACCGGTCATTTGCCTGATCCCATCTGCATTGTTTTTATTTTAAACTCCTGGCCATAAGTGCTGGAAATAATTTTTGGACTAGGTTTAATCCGAATTTGAGACATGTGAAGCATTTGCACAATTTCAGATTCGAATGAGCATTCAGAACATAAGCAAATGCTCATTGTTCTGCCTCAGTGATGTCTTTTCAGCCCCGAAAGGTTTAATACAGCACCTCAATCATTGTTGCTGAGAATTCATTGAAATCACATAAAAGTTTAAAAAAGAATGAGTAGTTAATAAATATGGAAGAATTACTTAACATGTCAACAAATTTACTATTGAGAGGATAATGACATCTTATTGCTGATAATAATTTTACGGATTTGGCTCCACGCACAAGGACAGGTTTATGAGCCAACATGAAACACAAACACACGCCATAGTAAATAAAACTTTATGATTTGAAAACAATTCAATCATATTAATTACAATGCACAGCTACTTTGCAAAGTAGCTACATGCCTGGACAATGCACTGAACTTGGACGAGGCTTGCAGGCAGAATTCACCATGTGTTGGATTGCTCACCCATGAGTAGAGATGGTGCAACATGCAATGAGATTAATACTAAGCGCACCTCTATATAAATGCAAGTTGTTGTTGTCGTGTCGGAACAAAGTGTAGTAACTTTTGAAGGGAGGCGTGCGATGGAAGGAATAGGAAAAAAGGAGAGATTTCTTTCAGGCCTAGACTCCTGGTAGAAATAATTCTTGGACTAGATTTAATCAGCATTTGAGACATGTGGAGCATTTGCACAATTTCAGATTCAAATGAACATTCAGAACATGAGCATTATAAAATGGTGTTTTGCCCACAAAATATACAGCCAATTCACTTTCTCTGAAGCGCTTTGAGACATCTCGAAGATGCGATCAGGCGCAATATCAAATGCAAGGGTTATCATCATTATCATCTGTGGTGTGTGTTTATTAATGACGGGCTTACGTGCATGCCCATCATTTGTCAAGGTCAATCTCTCAGTTTCCGATAGGTTGTATCCCATCAACTGCATGGGCTTCAGCGAGGGATCGTAGGCGAAGATGCCATTGTGAAAGTCTATGGGTGACTGCTGGTGTACACTTCCACAGTGTGGATAGCTTGATCCCCATTCGTCTTCTCCGTGAGGTCCTGCAATGGATTGTTATTTCATTAAACTTTCTGTTTTTAATCGCTTACTTCATATGATCACCTCTACGAGGTTCTCACACATATACTAGAGAATGAAGATTTTGAAGCCGTTTCTCACTTTCTTTCAGGCATAAAAATTATTTCATTTTACAATCGCTAATTCCAAAGATTTTCATCCACACTCCACAACCAGGTCTGCATTTCTAATCCAAACCACACTTAACTCACTGACACGTCTGGTTTTGCAATGAGTGGAAGATTTAAAAGTAGGACATGCCATTTTGAGATAGAGACGCAGCAGATTAACAATCCCAGGCAACTGAACTCTGAATACCCTTTCTAAAGTGCAGCCTGTTACTGAGCTTTCCTGAGGTAGCTCTTGACTTCTTTTCAGAAGTAACAGGGCACATTATCCCTCCTCCTGTCAAGAGCCAGTGCACATCACTCCATAATCATAAAAATCCCTCAAAAAAAATAATAAATTGGTCATTTCAATCCATGACTGTTTGTGGGACGCTGCTGTGCGTAATTGGCTGCCACATTTCGCACCACAAATATACAGTCAATTAACTTTACAATCTATTCTGTGAAGCGCTTTGAGACGTCTATAAGATGTGAAAAGTGCTATATCAAATGCAAGGATTATTATTATAATCACACTATAGAAAACCTCAAAAGACCCAGATAAGATGTGACATCAAATAGAACATAAATACACCAAATAGAACAAATAGCACGCAAGTACAATTAAACTGGTCTATTTCAAAGTAACCACACACAGAAATTGCAAAATGGATAAGAAGTCTTCAGGTTTTTAAAGTGACTACATTCACAGTTTAATACATTGGTGTCTATTACTGCATATTTCTGAAAATATTTTGTTCGCACTTAATTTACTTTTCCAACCACATTTGTTGAACCAATGCAAAGTCACTGGACGAGAGGCTCTTTAGTTTACATTCAAGCCCACAGTGATGGGAATGGCAATATTTGTTTTCTTAGGGCGAGAAATTCCTCACTGTAGCCGAGGCCAAGTTTAACTCTGGCACCCGGTGACATGAAGTGCCGGCCACTGGGCACTTTGTGCTGTCGTCAAGTTTATTTTTGTAGCTTAGCTGGCATCTCTGTGTACCATTGCATACATCCCAACACTCTATGCAAGCGCACAAGTAATTATTGCGTGCTTGCATATGCAGAAGCAGTGTGCCAGTGCCTGGACCATTGCACTGCTCTGGAGAGGAGCCCAGGCAGCAGTGTTGGACACTCTGATATCAATGAACGATGTGTGCACGTACCCAGTGGCTTGGGCTGCAAAAGCAGTAAGTGGGTCATTGTTAAACTCTATACAAATCTGTGCAGTGACTTAAACAGGTGGGGCTGCCATTAGTTTTGGAACTACTGTCAGCTGCAACCAAGCACACAAAAAATAATGAACCAGAGAGCCTTCACTGAACTCCTCTTCCCCCACCCCCAAACCTCACATAGTAAACAATTCCAGGGCCTGACAAAAGAAGAGCAGACAACTTGAGATTCCTCATGTCAGACACAGACAATTGCCTTTATAAAAACAATTAATAATCCTTGCACTTATCACGTCTTCTGGATGTCTCAGAGCTCTTCACAGAATATGCTGTAAAGGGAATTGACTGTATATTTGTGGGCAAATTGGAAATAAGCCAAAATCTTAAAGACAGAAGTCCAGGAATACTTACTCAGCTTTTTCCCAAAAGCTCACCGTCTGAGAAATGTTATACTTCCAGTTTTTATTTAAAAAAACAGGAAACAAAACAAACATTTGTCCAAATGCAGTGAGATTGTCTAAGAAGGTATGTGGGTTTCAAACTGAAGTCTTTAGTAATGTTTGGGAGAAAGCACTGAAGGATCTTCAAGAGAACTGCTCAGGTGATCATTAATTTTTATGCATTAGAATTAATAATGCTATACGTTTTTACGTAATGCTTTTCATAGCCAAAGGTGGAGGAAAGCAATCAATTAAATATTTACCAAACTGCACACAATCCTGTGCATAGCACTAAAAGGAACCAACTTAACAATTGAGGCTTTTCATAGTGAGCAGTTTGTCCGAGAAAGGCTCAAGCACTGAACCTTTGCCATTCTTCCCGGGTAATTCACCAACAGTACATCCACATCAACTCCATTCCAGGCCTCAACATAAAGACACCGAAACAAAAAATTTGCAAACTGAATCTTTCAAGTTAATTAAATTCACATCAAGTTTGAACCTTCTGCTAATATTCATGTTGCAATGAATATGCATCATAAATGTCAATTAGTAGTCAGGTGCCATTGCTGGCCGTCAGCTGAAGGAGTCATTATGAAGGGCTATTGTTCGAGTTGACAGAATGCTGAATAGTCACATAGCTAGGAATGAATTTTGATGCAGCATAATAATGTATGGACTTTTTCACTCTGGCAGACATGTCATTGCTTTAACTCACATGGGACTGGCTACACACCAATATTGCTCACTGTAACCTTTGCATTTATTTATTACTCAGATTATTCCCTGTATCTTTTTCTAAACAAGCACGCTTGCAAACCAGTGGAAACATTTGATGCAACAAATTCCACAAGAATCCTCTCAAAAGGACAAGAAAGAAATTCGAGCCGATTTAGAATCGGTTTTCAATGCAACACTCACCATTTAAAGCCTCCACATGGAAAGTAAACCCAATAATACCTGATAGCATTGTTCCCTTCAGCTCCTCCACTCTTAACATCCTCCCTCTCCCCCTCCCCCCCCCCCCCGCCATCCATTGGGTGAAGCTGTATCCCTGTTCTGTTTCTGTTATCACACTAAAATGTAGAATGGACGTTAGCCTGGCTCAACTGGTTGCGCTTTCAAATCAGATTCACAAAGCTGTAGGTTCCAGCCCCATGTTAAACATTGACCTCAGTCCTGGCAGTCACTCCAATGCAGTGCTACATTGTTCGAGGCTCTGGCCTTTGAACGAGGCGTTAACCGAGGCCCTTTCTGCCTCTTTGGACATCAAAGACTACATGGCGCTATTCAAAGGAGAAGTCTCCTCCTCTCACACACCCACAAACAATATCCTGGCCAACAATCCCAAAATAAAATTTGTCCTTCAATTCATAATAATAATAATTCATGCCTATTTGTGGGACAATGCTGTTTGGCAATTTGGTTTCCTCATTCACCCTCGAAACACACAATCACTGTAATTCACAGTAAAATCTTGTGAAGCACTTTGAAACAATCTTGATGACATGGCACTATACCATGAATTAAATGATAAAACAAAAAAGGTGACAAGCTGTTTGGAATTTCTGTGGTGCAGCCTAAGTATACTTGGTGGTTCCATCGTGTGATGACTTAATAGGTGGGTTTGGAATGTTTTTTGCTGGAACTATTCTCTTCAATCCAATAACAAGAGTGGAATGTTCTGCAATGCTTAACCACATACTATTATCATACTAACAACAATAATAATAGTATACAAACACACTGAAGACCATTTAATGGTAATTAGCAACCTGGGTGCCATCCCTTGGCATCCTAGTTTCTGAATGGTTGTTGTACACGCAACGTTGGCTGTGATCAAGAAATCAATGTCAGTCGTGGTCGTTGGAAAGGGGAACAGTAGTTTAAGCTGGTTCCAGTCATGAAGGGTATTACTCTACTACAGCCTTCATCTGTGAGACAGGTTACTGGACTTCAGCAAGGTACCGTACAGAAATACATTAGTTGTGCTAGGAATTCCATTTGATGGTGACTGCCTATAATTGATTCAACCACAGTTTCCAGTTGTGCAACTCCAGCTATATACCCTCAACAGCAAGGCAGGACAGAGAAATTAAACTAGGTACGCTGGGAGTCTATAATCACAGCCAGAAATGACCTGTCTCCTCCAGAAATCCAAATATTGACCATTTTCAAAAGATTGAAAGTAGCAGAACTGTATTTGATACAATGTTTTATTATTATTATTATTATTATTATGCAGTTGTTTCCAAAACCAAGCAACGACAACCATTAGTTCCTGGATTCAAAAACAATTCACATTTAATTTCAACTGCTGTGCTACAGACTGAAGCTCAAGCGGTAGATCAATTTATAGAATGTGCAGTAGATAATTGGGAGAAAATTAAGAGACTTACCAGAATAACTCCATCCAGATGCTGTATGGGAGGGAAAAAAATATGAAAAGCATGATTACACGTACACTGTAAAATAACAGCCAGCATATGATAGAAAATGTGATTTGTGCTAAGACGTGTATACTGTTGCTCGCACATGAAGGCAGGCGGGAATGCATTAAACTTGATCAGACTGCAAGGAGATATTCAATCACAGGAGAATGCCCTTTAATCCTTGCATTTGATATAGCGCTTTTCACGTCGGGAGGACATCCAAAGCGCTTCACAGAACACACTGTAAAGTGAATTGACTGTGTATTTGTGGGCGAACGTGGCTTTGGAGGGATTATTATTAGGCGTGTGGAGTAAGGAAACTTGCCCAAGGTTTCGCCCTCTGCCTGGAATTGAACTCAGGTCTCTCGCTTGCAAAGCGAGTGCTCTAACCACTGAGCTACCGGACTCCGCAACAGCCTTTCTGACAGCCCGGGATGGTCCTGGCGAGAACCATTCTCAAACAATGCAGTGTAAAACCCAATGAATTCTCTCCAATGAATTCGGTAAACAGGGTGGCAATTGAAGACAATACATAGCTATTTATTCTATGGGAATGAGTGCTACATCTTCCCTGTGTGATATTGGAAGCCCATTGATCATCATCACTAAAAAAAATAATACTCATGTCTGATAACTTACACGGGTCCTTAAAGAGTCCTTAAATGTGATGTAGTTTTCTGTGTGTGTGTGTGTGTGTGTGTGTGTACCCAAGTCTCACCTTCCACCAAACGAACATCACACTGAATTCATGGGTCTTTAATAGTTTTGAATCTCCCGCGGATTGGGGGGTTAGGGGGGAGATCTCTGGTCCTGGGAGACGGGAACCATTCTCTTGTGGTGTAAACACTGACTGTATCACTGTGACTAAACTTCTCTTATTACGACTGGAGGCTCTGGGTGTGAAAAGGGGGTTAGGGATGGAGGAGAGCAGTTGTTTCCCCCTCTCCTCCTCTCCTCCTGGGAGATCGAGAGGAAAACCCTATCAGTCTGATCCGCTCATCGTGGAGCAGCTTCGTCGACATCCCGCAATCTGCCCCGAGGCTCAAGGACAGAGTGATTCCGAGCTGCGGGCGGTGGGCGGAGGTATTGCGGGTTCGGGGTTACCTGCGCTCGGCATTAACAGCCGAATCCGCAAAACGTTTCCAACTCCGCAAAAAGCTCTCCCCCATCAGGACAGGATTAGACAACTTTCCCCAAACAATACTCCTACCCTCTCCCCCCACCAAACCTCCCTCCATCCCTCCCTCCCTCCCTCCATCCATCCGTCCCTCACACACGCAAAGCATTTTCCATTCAGTACAAATCAAGTCATATAAAACCCTGAGCTCTCAACAGCGCAGAGAAAAAGACACTGTTATTGAGAATTAAGCATTTTGAGCTGAAAAGGCTCCAAATAACCGATGGCATCCAACCCCGAGAGCGATCCCCACGTGGATTGAACTGACCCTAATAGGGACCCAACAACACTTCCCCAACAACAGGTTTGAACACTTCTCTGTTCTTTTTATATGTATATATATATATATATATATATAAATAAAACCACTGTAGCTTTTCACACAAAAGTAAAACGTGGGCCATCCCCGCGATGTAGTAGAAACATATACAGTAATTTTTTTTTAAAAAAAGTTCTTAAAACCTTTTTCCTCCCCCCTCCCCTCACAAGTTATCAAATATACCCAACTCCAGCTGGAAACACACCGAATACTACCGAGCAGTGGCAAAGAGAGAAGAGACAGGAGGGAGAGAGGGAGAGGGGGAGAAGGAGAGATAAAGGAACTTTTGTTGGATGGTAGTTAAGGTTTAGTTGAGTGCCCATTAAATGAGACGCCCCAGTGGGAGGGGGAGGGAGGGGGTGGGGTGGGGGGTGGGAGATTTTTTATTTTATTTTATTTACAGACACAAACACACACACACACTTTCCGATTGGCATTTTTTATCAATTACAGAATGAATAAAATACCAACTCTAATCATATCAACAAGTACCCTCCACCCACCCACCCTCCCTCTCTCCCTCTCTCTCTCTCCTTCCCTCTCCCCCTCTCTCTCTCCTTCCCTCTCTCCCTCTCCCTCTCCTTCCCTCTCCCTCTCTCTCTCCTTCCCTCTCTCCCTCTCTGTCGATGGGAGTACAGAGAAATGCAGACGGGAATAACAACCATCACCATCCGAGCCCTGACTTACCGCCGGAGTCCGCCAACGTGGGACCTTTCAACGCCAACGCGTGAAGCATCACCAGAGCCCTGGTCACCACCTCCAGCCACTGGCGGCGCCTCGGGGACATGATGGAGAGAGAGAGAGAGAGAGAGAATAAAGATTTATAACAACACAGACACAGACACACACACACACACACACTCCTCCTTCAATCTGTGGTCTCTTCACTGAAAAGCAAAGTAAAGTCGGGCTGCGGAGCTCCTTTATAAGCAGCGGTTGCCCGGGGCGGGGGTGGGAGGAGGAGGAGGAGGGAGGGAGGAAGGGAGGGAGGGAGGAGGAGAGGCGTAACCGAAACATCGGAGCAAAAATAAATAGGCGAGTCCGGTTCTACCACTTCCCTCTCTACATCCATCACCGAGAACTGCTCTCCGCTCTTCCCTATTCTTTTAAATTCGTGGTTTTTTTTTTACACACATACATAGGTATATATATATATATTTGCGAATGGTTTGTGTTTGTTGGGTGATGGGGAGCCTGGGGTTGGGGTTGGGGGGTAAGTCCAGCCCTTTAGGGCGGGCGCTCTGCCCTCTCCCCCACACACACACACCTCCCGGTTGTTACGAATACTTTCCCAACTTTGTGGCCAAAAGGGGAAGAAGTGGGTGAGTGAGTGGGGAGAGAAGTTCACGTATCGCACGTTCGCCTGAGATCATCCACACACCCTTTATTTTATATCCTGGAAACAAGTTCCCACCCCCCCCCCACACACACACACACCACACCCCCCACCACCACACCCCCACCACCCCCCCCCCACACCACCCCCAGCACCCCCCCACACACACACACACCCACACACACCCACCCCCCCCCCACACCACACCCCCCCCCCCACACACACCCCCACCACCACACACACACACACCCATCCCCCCCCAAACACACACACCCACCACCACACACACACACACCCACCACCACACACACACACCCACACCCCCCCCCACACACACACCCCCACACCCCCCCACACACACACACCCCCACCACCACACACACACACCCACACCCCCCCCACAAACACACACCCACCCCCCCCCATACACCCCCCCACCACCACCACCCCCCCACACACACACATACCCCCCCCACACACACACCACCCCCCCCACACACACACACACACCCCCACACACACACACCCACACACACATACCCACCCCCCCCCCACACACACCCCCACACACACATACCCACCCCCCTCCCCCACACACACACAAGTGTTGTATTCTCCCCCCCAATTCCCTCCCCAATTTCTGAACTTTTTCCAAACTACCCCCCACCCCCCAACCCTCCTCTCCCCCACACACACACACACACCACACAACGCATGTTCTTTTTAGTCCTACAAGTTACAAGACAGATTAAAAGAATCCTGATCTCTCAATAATACAGAGAGAGTGGGGTGGAGTGGAGTTGGTGGGGGGGGGAACATTATGATTGAGAGACCCCTGAAAAGCATTCTCAACTAAAAAAAATACTACTGTGCCAGACCATCCCGACACTGGAATAATTCTCAGATCAGGTCCAAATCATTCCCCCCCCCCCCCCCCCCCCCCCCCTCCAGGCGAATCCCGAGTTTTAAAGTTGGTGAAAGAAAACGAGGAGCCACACACTGCACAACAGAGTCTTTGTCTCCACTCCGATGTTAATTGTCCATCTGCCAATCTCCCACTGGAATCATTTAAACTCGTCCTGAGTTTCCAAAGGGTCAGCGAACCGTGAGAGGAGGGGGAAGAGCTCTCTTCATCTCGAGGTGAAAAGGCTGTCGCAAAAAAAGACTAAATGAGCGACTGCCTGGGCACTAATCTGGTTTAAAATGTGTTTTTTTTTTCTTCTTCCCCCCCTCCCTCCCCACCCCACCACACCACACCACACCCTGGTTAATTTTTACCAGCCTTGGAGGTGGTTGTTTCACCCACCAAATATACAGTTCAATTCGCTTTGGATTAGCATCTTGAGAAGCGCTTTGAGACAGCTCAACGACGACGACTAGGGTTTATGTAGCGCCGTTCACGCTGGCAAGCACGCTGGAATGTTTCCACGATACGATAAGGCACTATATCAAAATGCAAGGATTATTCTTGTAAATTGCCATGGGTTTTAGTGATTTAAGATGCTTCGTTTCTGGGACGTTTTTCATTTTCCACTTTCAGCTGAAAGTAGATTCACGGGGGCTGTAACCTGGTAATCAGTGCTAAAAAGTGATCTGCTTGTACGCAAGTGGCTTTTTTTTAAAAAAAATAGTTTTTATCCAAGAACAACTTTTTGTAAACTTGCATACCAATCAGTTTCGTAGCTTTAATTTGTCTTAACGTAACGGATCACAGGATATAATACCCCTTCCTTGACTGTGTGTACCTATCAGCAACGTGTAACTTGACTCTCCTCGTGTAACTTGAATAACCCTGTAATACCCAGCTCAAGAAAGCTTGTCAATCTTGTAGAATTTAGAAGAGCCAATAAAACACATTTTAACATTGAAAACTTTTTTTTTAAACTTGGTTATCCTTGGCTATTAGAAAACACATCTATCAACAACAACAAATTACATTTGTATAGTGCCTTTCATGTCGGGAGGACGTCCCAAGGCTCTGTCCTTGTCAATGTGTTTCATTAAAAATAAACATTCCTGCACATTGTAATTCAAAAGTCTTTCTGAAGTTGCCAGAATTTAATATTGTTAAATAAATGTATGTGACATTTTTTGTTAACATTTATTATTTGGTCAGCTGGGTATCCAGACACATGCGGAAACCCATTATCCAGTGTTTCATAAGAGTATACAGACCAGTCTGCGATACAGAGAATAAGTCCAAGGCTTATTTCTGTCTGTAACTCATTGCCATATGCCATAAACTTTATAGTTTTTGGAGGAAAGGGCATTCTATCCCATGATTTGGGATTGAGCCACAGCAACCATGTACATCCCAGTTTCATTAGGAGAGATTGCACTCAGAATTAGCCAGGACCACAGTGAAGGCCATTGGTGGTGGAAGCCTTTTACAATAGTTTGCGAAATCGCGACCAAAGATGCCAAGAGTGATCACCGGGCTCCTTTCAAGGTAAAATCAACCGCCGGGGACTCCCACCCAGCCCAGATTACAGCAAACTCATCCTTAGTAAATAGCAGTTACAGGGACACGTAAAGGTAGCTGGGTGGGCGGTAATGAACTAGCCTAATGGCACTCTCACTAAGTCAGGCTGAGTCAGAAAGGGGATAGTCTTGACGCTTAACCAAACTCACCATCGACAGAAGCTTTTTACATGGGGGAAGGAGAGGGCAGAAACATACTTCTGGCCCCCTCTCCGTCCCGCAATATTTCATCTGCCAACGGTGAAGGCATTTATGTATGCTTCAGCATTACCTTTCTTACTAGAGTAGCCACATCTCCTGCATGTGGAAATCTTATCTTCTGCTACTAGAAATCTATGTCTTTTTACTGCTATGCTTTGCTGACTTGGAGAGTAAAATGCCCCAGGGATTAAACATTTTTTATTGAGCAAAGAAGGTGAGGAGCCAAGCCATTGAGTGTGGTGCACCACTGAGCGCATAAAATAGGAGAAAAAGAAACATAATAAGTTAAGAAATGGTAAAGTGATGTCAAGATTGTGAGTCAGAAACACCAGCTTTGTTGCCCTTGCAGTGAGTTTTAAACAAAAAAAGCTTCACTGATTTGTTTTCTATTTCACAAGTACTCCGACTTTGTTACATGGTATATTTATTCAGGATATTAGAACATAAGAAATGCTAGACAAATAAGTTTGCCTCTAGTTCGCCTTCCGCCTTCCTGGCGGTCACGTGCACATATTTCCCGAACTACCTATGTAACCCATAATGTTATTTCCTAAAAGAAACCTATCTAATCTGTGTTTGAAAGAATCAACACTTCCTGCTTCAACCGTCTCCCTCGGGAGTCTGTCCTCCTTGAGGGGCAGAAAGGTAAGTGGGGTCTCCTTGGAGCTGAACTGGCTCCAAGGTGACATGTTTGGCAATGGAATGTCAGAATCGAGCCAGTCCTCTGTGGCGGTCTATGTAGTCCAGTTCCTGAGCCAGATGGGTCACATTACTCCAGAGCACTGCTGATGACAGCACAGCCAGGCAAGCTCATCAGCAGGACTTGGAAAAGTCGACTAGTCATTGGGGGACACGGGCTCTTCCCACCCAGTTCCTACTAATTGTAGCAAGCCAAAGATCTTACTTGTAGGGCAGTCCTAGTTGGATACCTTTTCCAAGCGGGAAAGCTTGCTAGACAGTGCTTACAGTGGCAAGCCATGCGGTTTTAGTTGGTTAGATAGATTTGGCCATAGCGGATTTAGAGATAAACAGGTTGGCTTCAAAACAAACTATTCAGTGTTTTTTAGTCAAATTAGATGTTATAATTTGAAGTACGGTATTTGGTAATGGGGAAGGATATTATTATAAGTTGTTCACGGTATGTTATCACTTTTTGAGCTTAAAGAAAAGCTAATAGAAATGTAGGCTGCAAGTGTCTCTCATGGAAGATAATTCAGTGGGTTGAGATTAATTTGCCTCTTTGTGTTCAGTCTGAAAGGTGAAAATACCCTTCTTTGTAGGCTGCTATATCATGTTGTGGCTGAACAAACACTGTGTACCGGTGTTTCTCTTTACACTTGTACAATTGCATAAAGAAGCCACTTACAAAAATTAATTGTACACATAGTCAGTATATCCATAATATAATTGGAATACCAGTTATACCGATCTTGGACTTGGTAACATGGGATTTCAGGTAAACATCTTCATGTCTTGACCTCCCAGTGATTGAAGGAGAAATGGCTTCAAATCCTTGTTTTAAAAGTTTAATGTGACTGGTGTTCGTTTCATAGAACAATCCCAAAAATCATTAGTCTGATATCCTGCTGTGATAGAGTGGGAACATTTATCAGACAGCAGTTCATTTTAATTAAGTAAATTTTGTACCATGGCTTTTTTTTTAATAATGCTAAAGAAAGGGACAGAAACTTTGTCGAGCCACAGTAATGTTTTCCATGGCAACGACTGTGAAGCGCAGAGAATGTCCTCTACTAACTTTCATGAACACAGCTTAAAAATGGCCTTTCATTATTGATAGTCAACAATCCACATAAGCTTGACCTCTCTTCAATCATGTGACCATTCTTCTTCTTCTGGAGATCAACAATAATCAATTGA